CTCACGAGGATCCGCACTGCGGTTTGGGGGCCTTCACCGTGCACTTCTCGGGGCAGCTCACAGGGATGCATGGGCCGTTTGCTGATTCTCCGTCCAGCCAGAGCAGGATGTTCTCCAGCGGGCCTTATCTGCCAGGCTGCATGGACAGCCCTCCTGCCCCGCACAACCAGGGTGAGACAGCCGACCCGCTTGCGGCTCACAGTCTCTCTGTCATGAGCCACACAATCTGTTTGTCTCTGCTGTTGGTGTCAAAAACATAAAAAAACACGAAACTTCAAAGTGGACGTGAGATGTTTGAGATTTTGCATTAAGCTGGTGTGTGATTGTGAAGTTACGGAGCTGTTGATACTGAATTGCTCATAGAGGATCTCTTATCACCCTCAAAATATTACTTCTGAAAAGTGAATTAATTATTGAATTAAATGTTCTACACTTTAGTGAAAACTTCTTTTTAAAATGATTTTTATATTTTATTATAAATATAGTAATAAATGTAATTATACATGAAATGAAATTATTCACATAGACATGAAATATCTTTGAATATGATTCATATCTGATAATCAAAGAAAATCAAATACACATTTTTGATTTGAATGTAAAAAATACAAAACCGTACTATTCAGCCGACATTTATATTATTCCATTGTGCTCAGTTTTAGCCGCTTCAATGAAACTGCATTCTGCGTAAAGGCTTTATATCTGCTGCGTCAGATTAATAAATGTTCTGGATCTTCCATTTGATCTCTCTGTTGCCAGATTGATTTTATGAAGGGCACTTCTGACCTCCTTAAAACATTTGGGAACACAGCTGATGTTCTAAAGGAAAGTAGATTAAAATGTTTCTTAAAGGGTTAAATTAGTATTTTACATTAAACCAACCGAATAAAATCTTTTTGGAGATAAAGTGTTTATAAAAAAAAAAGAGTCAGATGAAATGGTATTAAAGTTTAGAAGCATGAAATGACATTTTCTGTAGTGTTTTGGCTCAGTGGCTGATTAAGATGGGACTTTATTCATTTATTTCATGCAACAATTATTGCACATGCTGAATAAGTCTCACACGATGTCTCTCTCTGCAATCTAGCATTCATTTTTTCTTTGTGTTGATGACTTACAGCACTATGTGAACATCTTGAAGAGCTTCTCTCCTTTAAATCTGAGAGCTCACAATACAGAAGTCTGATGTTAGTGTGCTTAAATGCAGCGTGTTTAAATCACAGTACAAAGATTCACGTATCTACTTCTGTAATTTATCATTAGATTAACTTTAGGAAAAGTCACAACGACAAATTGATTAATTGGAAAAGCTTATTGGTCTCCAGCGGGTTTACGCACCAGATGAATTATAAGTCTGTTGGAGAGGGATGCATATTTACTGTAATACATTTTGTCAGGAGTATTAGTGGAACCTTTTCTATGTTTACATTAAGTCATTTTCAGATGATTACTTGCATTAGTTAGAATTTTATTGTCATTTTTAACACTTGTAAACAATGAACAATGGGCTATTCTTCAATAGGAAGAATGGAGTCAGCTGAGAAAATGTGGATTTCGCTGAGAACAAACACACTAATTTGTTCTCTGTTTTTCTTTGTCTCTTTCTCTCAGGTTATGGTACAGTAGCATTAGATGGAGCTCCCAGTTACGGACACACACCTCACCACACTCCACCATTCCCAAACAATACCTTCAAACACGAGGACCCCATGTCCCCCCAAAGCAGCATTGGTAAGGAAAATATATTCTCATTGTGGCATTTGAAGCAGTAAATGCCTTTGAATAAATGATGAGTAAATAATAAGAATATTGGGAGGCAAACATAAGTATTTTGCAGGTATATATATATATATATATATATATATATTTAAAAACTGCAGGTTAATCAAATAACAAAGTACTTAAAGGGATTACACTTTCTTGACCATGCTTTTAAAAAGTGTACTTTGTTGTAATGAAAAATTAAAGGTTTTACTTTAAAGCACATTTTGTTTTAATAATCCTTTGTCATGCTTTAATGACTATTACTATACATGCACTTGCAAAGGACTTTATTATAATTTTAACTCTAGTGTGTTATTTGATCGTACATCTATATTTTAAATATACACATCTTACAGTTATATTTTAAACGTTCTGATTGCAACTTCATCATCACAAATGTTTAATTACATATATATTTTTAAATACATGACATGCAAGTTTCAATAGAAATGATACGAACGTGTACTTTAGTTTACCATAAATGCTTGTCAGTACATTTGAACCATATTTCAAATGACAATAGAAATAATTGCATGTAAAAATGGACTTGGTCGGTCAAAAAATCACTCTTACATTCAACTAATTGCATTAATATAAAATTAGGCTGTAACACATTTTCATTCATTTTGCAAATGGCATGCAATTAGATATCCGAAAAGTGCCCGTGTATTCTTTTAATATATATTATTTCTATAAATAAGATCTCTTTTTAAAAGTATGCGAATGTGTACTTCTTTTTCAGAAGGGCTGTGCAGGACAGAGTGAATTCGTGAGTGTGTATTTAAGTGTAGTATGACAAATAAGATGAATAGATATCTGGAGATCACTATCCGCAAGGATCATCTCGAGGTTAAGTGTTAGATGGAGTTTTAATGTTAGGGCGGTAAATACTCAGATTTTTTTCCTTCTCACTGTCTTTTTTTACCTCTCTGTCTCCTTCCCCGAACACTCAAAACACTGTATGCAACAGTTTTTAAGTTCATTAAGCATAAATTACGCTGGCATGAGTGATCACCACTCTTTTTCGGGCAGCTGAGAGGAGGAAGCAGAATTGTGGATGTGGAGAAGAATGTTTAGTACTGCCGAGGGACTGATTCCCTGTCTATTGCCCTAAGAAATGAACAGAGAGCTCTCAGAAACTCTGCTGACTGCTTTATGGTCGCAGGGAGCCCTGTGCTGTTTGGATAACCGCAGTAAAGATGAGGCCGCACTCTCTGTTAGCTCTACTGTAAAACGCTTTGTTTCACTTGTAAACAGGAAAACTCAAGTATGAGGTCTTTGAAGAGGACTTTCTTTCAGATATTGCTGATATATATGCTCTTTGAGTGTTGTAATGTGTGCTTTGATTTTGTGAATATGCAGGTGAGCCGCAGTACTCCGTCCCACCGCCTGTCTATGGGTGCCACAGTCCTCCTGACAGTCTTTTGAGAAATAGCTTCAACAGGTACCTTCTTTACCGTTGATTATTAGTGTGATAAGAGACATAATTAAGCAATGCATGATTTCCTAATGATGAGTTTTGAAACTTTACTTGAGTTAATAACTCCCAAGGTGTGATTCATCATGCATGAAATGATAACAATACTGTCTATTGCCCTAAGAAATGAACAGAGAGCTCTCAGAAACTCTGCTGACTGCTTTATGGTCGCAGGGAGCCCTGTGCTGTTTGGATAACCGCAGTAAAGATGAGGCCGCACGCTCTGTTAGCTCTACTGTAAAACGCTTTGTTTCACTTGTAAACAGGAAAACTCAAGTATGAGGTCTTTGAAGAGGACTTTCTTTCAGATATTGCTGATATATATGCTCTTTGAGTGTTGTAATGTGTGCTTTGATTTTGTGAATATGCAGGTGAGCCGCAGTACTCCGTCCCACCGCCTGTCTATGGGTGCCACAGTCCTCCTGACAGTCTTTTGAGAAATAGCTTCAACAGGTACCTTCTTTACCGTTGATTATTAGTGTGATAAGAGACATAATTAAGCAATGCATGATTTCCTAATGATGAGTTTTGAAACTTTACTTGAGTTAATAACTCCCAAGGTGTGATTCATCATGCATGAAATGATAACAATAAAAGTGCAGTAAATTGCATCATAGAGGCAGCAGCCACGAATTACAAGAAGTTACAAAAGTACGCCGAATTGTTTGTGCAACTGTTGAAATAAAGGGATATTCCTGGATATTATCTAACGACAGCTTCTGAGACGTGCCACAGAAAACAATTTCTGCTTGTCCCTCAGTCTGCAAAAACATGCAGAAGTCTCAAAGGCATTCTGGAGGGTTCAAAAGCAGAAATGTTATTGTTTAAATCTGTGGCTCTCAACCAGAGGGACCTCAGGAAACTTCCAAGGGGTTGCTCAAAATGACCTACAATTATTTAAAATAAGACAAACAGGCTTTAAATGGGTCATGGAATGCATTTTCAGATAGATTATATTTCTAGAGGTTAGCTTATGAAGTTTTTAAAATATTTGTAAAGATGATCATTTTCTATCCTTATTTTCACTCTCTGTCATGAACACGTGTTTCAAGGGATGTTGTCTCTTTCAGAGATGCAAGTGAACTTGCAATATGTTTTTATTGTAGAGTAACCTCTTATATGCGTAATTTAAAAAAAATTCCATTTCACCCTTCAACAACAGTTTTTGCCTTTGAAGAACCAGAATTCCCATGGATCATGCAAATTGTTTTAAATATTATAACTGCATGGCCATGTTATACATTTTTGTAGTTATGCCAAGCTCTAAAATGTTTTATAGTGTAGAAATAGTCGGTAAAAAAAATGGAAAGGTCATGGGGCCTTCGAATATTGTCACAGACAATGGTGGTATTGCATGGAGTCAAAAAAAATTAAGAACAATGATCTAAATTATTGCTTTAGTGTTAGGAGGATATACGTCTTTTTTTGCTTAACCAACATAATTTCCCTTTCTTATGTCATATGAAACACAAATGTTGTACTGGCTTTACATGTCCATGACAGGTGTTTAAAACGTGGATATACAGTATATTAACTGTATAGTAAGTTGGATATATATTAACAGGACACAACAATGGCAGTAAGTGATTTTAGCAAATTAGTGCCACGTTAACACATATCTAGTTTAGTCACTTCAGTCTAATATGCCAAATCAAGTCAAATTTATTTAGTGCTTTGTACAATTCACATGGTTCACATCTTCATGCCTTAGTAGGTCCTTACATGCAATCTGCAATGAGGACCATCATTTGCTATCATTTACATAATTGACTTTTCGTGCTCTAAAACCCTCCACCTCCTCCAGCTCCACCTGTATTTATGAGTGTCTATTCATGCAGCAGCAGCAGCATATCTTACATGCTCACAGTTGTGTATTTATTGGCAGTAGAAAGTCCATACTGGCTCAGCAGCAGCATAGTAGATCTAGTTTGCCAAAAACCAATACATTAACATGCTAAAACTATTCAGATAGTTTTTGATATTTGTTTGAAATAATTGTTAAATTGTTACACAGCGTGTATTTTGTAATGGTTATTCCCGTGCAATGCTTTGCCCCATAGATCTTCATTGTATGTGTCATACTAAAAATTATTTTTTGCTGTTTTTACGGTTTCTTTTCTGTGGTAATTAACAACACGTCATGCAGTATATGCTGTTGATATAGTATTGAACTCAGAACATTCTTTAAAAAAGGCACATTAATTAGTGTAAGAAGTAAAATATGTATATTGCTGATTTGTGTCTTCACCGTGGCACAGCCCCCTCTGGTTTCTGAGTGACTGAAATTGAGCGTCAGTGAGGCCCAGTCTGGATGGCTCAGATAAATCCTGAGTAAGTCTGCAGTGAGTCTTGCTGTCTGCACAAAGGTTAAGAACTGCACAGCAGCTCTCAACAGGCCAAAATACACTCACAGTGATCTACTGCCCGTTTCCTCCAAATTCCTCTTCCCTTCTCTGCCTGCCCTCCCCAGAGACACGAGAGGATGGAGAGAAAGAGTTATGTATTCAAAAGATGAACTTTATTATAAGGAGAGGAGAGGAAACCAGAATATCAGTATATAACAATTGATGCTACCATTTAAAACTACAGTTTTCCAAAGTCTAATATTTTGAAATATTATTATAATTTAAAATAAATGTTTTCTATTTGAGTATATTTTCAAATGTAATTTATTTCTGTGATCAAAGCTGAATTTTCAGCATCATAACTCCAGTCTTTAGTGTCACATGATCCTTCAGAAATCATTCAATCAAGAAAATACTCTCACTCAAACACACTCACTCACTTGCATCAACTGGGTACTGTTGCAGTGTTCCGGTGACCTCACGAACCTCCATTTCTTGCCAATAAAATGAGATTATAAGGGAGCGAAAAGGGAAATTCCATCTTATTTTTCATTAGTGTTTGGCCTAGAAACTATCTTTTGCATTTTGAAACACTGGTATGAGCTGGAATGGAAAGCAATTTATTGGGAAGCAATGTGGCATCCAATTATAGAGTAATAATGAAACCCCACCATGACTTCTTTATTTTCCAATTATTATATTATATTATATTATATTATATTATATTATATTATATATTATATTATATTATATTATTTAACTATAAATTATTAACTAAATAAATAATTATAACTACAACAACTATTATTAGATCATCATTATTATTGTTAAATAATAATAAACAATAGTGTATAATTTGATATATTTTGTATCTCAAAGAAACTGTCTGACCTTCAAAAACTGCTACTTCAGCCCACAGAAAAGGGACAGACAGCATATGAGTCAAGATCATTTCCCCAAATCATTCCCACAATACCCAGAAACCATTGTGACATCACACTATTACATGACTGTGCCAGGCACTCGACTCGCCAGCCAGGACCACGTCAGAGCTAGCTGAGATGCAACACTTCACAACATGTGGTGAAACGCAGCGGATGTTTGTGTTTCCATAGTGCGAAACAAGCCTCCAGTTTTGCTGCTTGCTTAGAAAACAGTTATGAATCAGTGGTGAAGATTAGAAAGAGACATGTCTGCACTTCAAATCAGCCTAGTAACCAGAAAAAGAACACTGCATGAACAAAAATATTGTCTTAAAAAACTAAATCCTCAATTTCTTTCTCTGTGTCTTTTACTTTTTTCATTCCTATTTTTGGTGTATCCCTTCACTTTTTAAAAGTGTTGTGCTTCTTGAACCAGGACCACGTCAGAGCTAGCTGAGATGCAACACTTCACAACATGTGGTGAAACGCAGCGGATGTTTGTGTTTCCATAGTGCGAAACAAGCCTCCAGTTTTGCTGCTTGCTTAGAAAACTGTTATGAATCAGTGGTGAAGATTAGAAAGAGACATGTCTGCACTTCAATTCAGCGTAGTAACCAGAAAAAGAACACTGCATGAACAAAAATATTGTCTTAAAAAACTAAATCCTCAATTTCTTTCTCTGTGTCTTTTGCTTTTTTCATTCCTATTTTTGGTGTATCCCTTCACTTTTTAAAAGTGTTGTGCTTCTTGAGCAGTGAAGAATGAGGTCACATGACTGTGATTTATCTCTTCTGCCCTGGCAGTGATAATCTCTACCAAATGGCGTCTCAGTTGGAATGTGTTACCTGGAATCCCGTCGGCTCGCTGACACCCAGCATAAAGAGGTACAGACTTGGTCTCATATCAACACCTGCGCTTTTAAAAAGAATTCCAATTCATTCAAATTTTTTCCTTTCCTTTCCTTTCCTTTCCTTTCCTTTCCTTTCCTTTCCTTTCCTTTCCTTTCCTTTACTTCCCTTCCCTTCCCTTCCCTTCCCGTCCCGTCTTGTCTCGTCCTGTCCTGTCTTGTCTTGTCTTGTCTTGTCTTGTCTTGTCTTTTCTTGCCTTCCCTTCCCTTCCCTTCCCGTCCCGTCTTGTCTCGTCCTGTCCTGTCCTGTCTTGTCTTGTCTTGTCTTGTCCTGTCCTGTCCTGTCCTGTCTTGTCTTGTCTTGTCTTGTCTTGTCTTGTCTTGTCTTGTCCCGTCCTGTCTTGTCTTGTCCCATCCCGTCTTGTTTTGTCCTGTCCTGTCTTGTCTTGTCCTGTCCTGTCCTGTCCTGTCTTGTCCTTTCTTGTCCCGTACTGTCCCCCTTCCCTTCCCTTCCCGTCCCGTCGTGTCTCGTCCTGTCCTGTCCTGTCTTGTCTTGTCTTGTCTTGTCCTGTCCTTTCTTGTCCCGTACTGTCCCGTCCTGTCCTGTCTTGTCTCATCCCGTCTTGTTTTGTCCTGTCCTGTCTTGTCTTGTCTTGTCTTGTCTTTTCTTGTCCTGTACTGTCCCGTCCTGTCTTGTCTTGTCTTGTCCCATCCCGTCTTGTTTTGTCCTGTCCTGTCCTGTCCTGTCCTGTCCTGTCTTGTCTTGTCTTGTCTTGTCCCGTCCCGTCTTGTCTTTTCTTGTCCTGTACTGTCCCGTCCTGTCTTGTCTTGCCCCATCCCGTCTTGTTTTGTCCTGTCCTGTCCTGTCTTGTCTTGTCCTGTCCTGTCCTGTCTTGTCCTTTCTTGTCCCGGACTGTCCCGTCCTGTCCTGTCTTGTCCCGTCCTGTCCTGTCCTGTCCTGTCCTGTCCTGTCCTGTCTTGTCTTGTCTTGTCTTCTCCCGTCCCGTCTTGTCTTTTCTTGTCCTGTACTGTCCCGTCCTGTCTTGTCCCATCCCGTCTTGTTTTGTCCTGTCCTGTCCTGTCCTGTCTTGTCCCGTCCTGTCTTGTCCAAAACTTTCCTTTCCTTAAGAAGGACAGAAAGACAGCCCACATTATCTTTACATCCTCCTCACCTCTCTTCTCATCTTCTTTTCGTCTTCTCTGCCGTCCTGTGCCCTATTCTAATTAGTGTCTATTTTGAAGGAAGGCCTCGCTGTCCTCTGATGTTGTACTGCACTTTGAAACAAAAGTACAGACTGAAGTAGGAGCATGAATTATGCTGCCGTGACAGCAGAGGAGATAGGAATGGATCCTGCTCAGTCAACCAGTCCAACCCAGATAGAGTGTCTGACCTTGGATGTGTTGAAGGGGCAGTTCAGGGTAGCATAATTTTGTGTGTGAGAGAGACAGAGAGATGTCGAAATGAAGAGATGTAGACTAGCTGAAGGGCAGAGGGGAATGTCCCAAAGCACTGTGGGAATTTTGTGTTGTTTTTGAGCGATTGAGTGTATGTGAGCTTGTCTATAGACAGATGAACTCTGCCACTGGAGTAGGTGACTGAGACGCTGGACAGAATATTTATGCCGGCTGTCCAGATAAAAGATTTGGTATCCACCTTCCTCACTCCCAATGCCATGACAACCAGGTGTTTATCTACTGAACGGATGAATGGTTGGGGTGTGGGAGGACTGGACCAGCAATGGCTGATTGTGTAGTCTTGAGATGTGAAGCGAGTCGGACAAAGAAAACAGCTCTTCATTTGTTACTGGCCACACTACAAATCCCCCTCCAGACTAACAGTCCCCCTTGCTATCATTTATGACAGTTGAGGCATTTTTACAGTTATTTTTGGATATCACACCATCCTTTTGTTAATAAGGAGGAGAAGCTGATGCATATTTAGCAGAGCTCTTAACACATGTTCTTTTCTGAGAATCTTATTGGTTATACATGTCGTACTGAATAATATGTCAGCTCTGTTTGAGGGGTCTCTGTCTCTCTGCTCTCTGTGAGTGGTCTTGTTTTATCTGCTGTGTGTAACTGCTCTCTGTCTTTGGATTTGTGTCCAGTCACAGTGGCGGTTATGAGGCCGAAGCGTCTGCAGGAGCTCCGCTGGTGTACAGATGCAGCACTCAGTATCACATACACACCCATGGTCTGTTCAGAGGAGTACAGGTGGGTGATTGCAAAACACACATACTCAAACAGAGACACATATAATTTCTACCTGTACACACACAGATTGCATTCTCACAATAATATAACCACAAAGTGCGCTGGCAGTATTTATTACTAATAATAAACACGTGTGTATGTGTGTGTGTGTGTGTGTGTATATATATATATATGTATATATATACATAAATTATAATATTATATTATATACATATTTGTATATATTATGGTATATACAAATATAATTATATAATATATATTTATTGTATATAGTTTATATTTCATTCAAATGTTTGGTGTCGGATTTTCTCTTTAGTCTCTCCAGCACTGCATTTATTTTATAATATTGTGAAATAATATCGTGAAATTTAAAATAACGGTTTTCTATTTGAATATCCTGTGAAATGTAATTTATTCCTGTGATCAAAGCTGATTTTTCAGCATCATTACTCCAGCCTTCAGTGTCACACGATCCTTCAGAAATCATTCTAATATGCTGATTTGCTGCTCAAAAATAATTTCTTATTATTATCATCAATGTTGAAAACAGTTGTGTTGCTTCATATTTTTGTGGAAATTGTGAACAAGATTCTTTACCTTTGTTAAATTGAAACATATTCCATTTATTTGCAATCTTTTGTAACATTATAAATGTTTATACTGTCACTTTTAATAAATTTAATGCATCTTTGCTGAATAAAGGTATCAATTTATATAAAAAAAATCAGTAGTGCTGGATTATTATTGATAATATCCTCTCAATATCCTCTCAACACACACTTACACTGGTGTTTTAGATCAAGGTCAAATACACACTTCCCTCTCTGCAGATCTGCCAAGACCAGGACACAGAGCGCACCACAAGCGTGAAGTTTAGAGTAAAAGTGTGTGTTTGATTATTCAGGTCTGTTAAACAGAGAGCAGGACAAAAGAGCTTCACATGCGTACGAGTCCGGAGCAGGCGAGGTGTATCAGTCTGACACTACTTCAGTCTGTAGTGTGTGTTTGGCCTGAATCAACATCCATCAGAGCGTGAGAAAGCTGATACTGTCCAGAGAATAGTGTGCATGTATGTATGTTTATAACTTTAGTTTAAAGCTTTCCTCTAAAGCCTTTTAAAAGCTAAATTGATATTTAACAGGCCACAAGATAAGAGGGTTTGTTCAGATGCACAACTCATCCGGGGTTTGGTAACGCAGAAGTTAAAACAAACAAAGGCTCAGAAGTGCAGCAGAATTGGCAAATAGAGTTTGTTGATTGCCAATTATTCCCTGTTTTTTTCTCTCTCCAGGATGTGCGGAGTGTACCAGGCATCACTCCCTCCATTAAATCACCAGAGAGCAGTGAGAAACGACCTTTTATGTGTTCTTACCCCGGCTGCAGTAAGAGATACTTCAAACTGTCCCACCTGCAGATGCACGGCAGGAAACACACAGGTGAGATGCCACATAATACAAAAAAAACCCAAGTTTTTTCCCCCAGTTTCACTTTGGGGTCACAAACAATCCAAACCGCTTTTATGAGTCTAGGTTGAGATCTTTTTTTTCTCTTTAGAAGAACAGCAGGTGAGATTTACAGTGTTATGCAACATGCATAACAAAGTCATAATTCATACGGGAATCCATTTTTTTCAGACCTCCAATAAGAGAAACTGATGGCAAGGAATTCAGTTAGAAGATGTGAAAATTTCCATAGCTCAAAAACATAGATCAGGTCCACAAACAAAAATTCATGAGATCAGTTCCCTGGACATTTGAATTCTAGTTCTCAGGAATGTCTGACTTTATTCTAGTGACAGAGTGAGCCTGATAACAACTGTTATTCACAACCATGAATCAACACACACACACACACACACACACACACACTCCTCTAAAAGTAAACATGGGGTCATTTAGGAGGCAACATTATAGCAACATGACTGTACTGTCTAAGCCACACCCTGAAGAAGACACTTTACAGTAAACATTAGTAATTGCAGGACAATTATTATTATTTGGAAAAACATTAGAAAAATGGGTTCAACCCCCCATTGCGGTACTACATAGAGGGAGAATAACAGAAATAGAGGAGGAGATGGGGAAGTGGAGGGATTCGGGGAGAATTGATGCTGGGACGGTGCAATGAGTGCTGCTTCTATTGGCTCGTAATGATGATTGACAGGACTGAATGATTATGCTCCTCCCAAACCTACGCTAGGAACTTCATGTTAGTAACTAATGGGACTTGATTGTCAAGTGTTTCTGAAATGTTTTTCATTCGCACAGAAACGGATCTATTTCTGTTATTGTTAATATTAGAATTAATTATACTTAGGGCTGGACAATAATTCAATATCAATATATAACACCATTTACTTTCAATAACGGTGATATGATTTTTTTTAACATTTCCGATATTTCAAAATACATTACCAGTGTTTCCCATGCATTGATTTATTTGTGGCAGCCCGCCACAATATCAACACTGACCGCAAATTTTTTTTTCCAAAAGGACTGAATTGAATTGACTTCATTGAATAAACATGATCACTGCACTTTCCAAAATCAAAACGCGGCGCGGGTGTTTTATATGAATGCATCTTTGAAGGCAACCAACTGTCTTCGGAAAAGTTCAGATGCCATTTTCATTTGATCTAAAAAAAAGCAGCGTTTATAAGCGGAGCACTGCTTTGTGTGCAGCCGTTACCATGGAAACAGAGAATGAATTTGCATTTTCAATAAGCCCGTCTCCAGCAACATGTGTTTTTGTTGTTGCATATTTTCTTTTCGGTTTTCTGCAGCAACTCTGAGCACTTTTTCTATTCTTTATGCTGGCTAAAACACTTTTGTTTCAGTCCGTAAGAATAATCAGCCTATGTTATAGTTTCAAGTTTTATTATATATTATAATATATCGTTTTATAGGAGGAGGTTTCAGAAGTTTGTAGGTTGTGGGCGTTCTTGGCAGCTTTTCTGAGTCTTTTTTTAATATTGTTCATATCGATATCGGAATTATATCGTATCGACAGAAATTAAGAAATATATCGTAATCTAAATTTGTATCGTCCAACCCTAATTATATGACAGAAACTGCATTGCACATCGCTTTGGATAAAAGCGTCTGCTAAACGAAAAAAATGTAAATGTTCATTGCTTGAAATTTTATATAAAATTAATTTAATTTTTATCACAGAAAACACCATGGTGAGCATGATTATAATACTACAGTAAAACAATAATAGATCAATATGGGATCTTCAAACTGTTTAGAACATGTCAGTCTTTCTGCCATTTATGATTCATTAATAAATTTTTTAATTTATGGAATATCTGTATCTTGGTGTAATGTTACCACAGTAAATTATTTGTAAGGGGCTCCTCTCAGTTGCACAAGAATCACAAAAATGACTAAGAAACATCTGGAGTGAGTAATTTGTGACCTCATGGCATGTACAGTTTTATAGATGAATGTATGATTTATGACACAGAGCATAACAACAAAATAAATGCTCAATTCAAACGGCGCCACCTTGTGGGAGCTTCATGTTAATGGCAGAGACTACAGTCATGTTCACACACCAGTCTTCTAACACATATGGTCAGTTATGGACTGATGTTGTTCTCTGTCGTGTGCAGGTGAGAAGCCCTATCAGTGCGACTACACAGGCTGTGGCCGCAGGTTTTCCCGGTCTGACCAACTCAAGAGACACCAGCGCAGACACACAGGTTAGACACGTCTCTGCTCTTCAAAACACTCCAGGACAGCAATATTGGAGTTTTGTGGTCATTAATATGCTACAACTGTAACAAAAAAGGTTCTTCATTGGCATTGATGGTTCCATGAAGAACATTTAACATCTATGAAAACTTTTAATTCCACAAAATGTTCTTTATAGTGGAAAAAAGTTCTTTATATTATTAAAAAAAACCTTTTGGAAGCTTTATTTTTAAGTATAGTTTACTCTTAAACGTTATATATACTTTTAGCTTTTAGCATTAAAAGCTATTAGAATGTAAAATTCACAGTCTTTCTCTTCTGGGAAAACAGATCAAAAATATTGGTGACTCATCTTGCACTTAGGGGTGTATCCAAACTTTTGTCCAATCAGATGCTTTAGATTGAGATTGCCCCGCCCACTAATTCCAGCTGCCATTAATCCATCACTTGTATAAAGTATGAGAAGCCCACCACAGCTATCTCTCTGTTTCCTGCTTTGCTCCTGTAGGTGTCAAACCCTTTCAGTGTGAGACGTGTCAAAGAAAGTTTTCACGCTCAGACCATCTTAAGACCCACACTCGGACTCATACAGGTAAAACAAGTGCGTAAGCCTTTTTTCCAGATTTCTCAAAAACCATTTGATCCATTTGTTGCATATACATTGATTTTATTACAGCACATCATTAAAATGTGTTGCTGTGTTTCATCTCTTGCGGTTGTCAGGTGAGAAGCCGTTTACGTGCCGCTGGCCCAGCTGTCAGAAGAAGTTCGCCCGCTCAGATGAGCTGGTCACAGTGATGCATTCTATCCTCTTTTCCATTGCATCGCGAAGAAAACTGTTCAATAAGATTTGGGGTTTTGCTCGTATGCTCAGAGCCGCTGTTTTTAACAAAACTAAAACTAATGCTAATGAACAGTGTATTTTGCTAAGCAACAGTGAATAGCAGAGGAAGAATCCCGAACCGAGTCTCTTTCTCTGTACTCTTGTATTTGTGCGCAGTTCTGCTTTGTGTGCCACTGTATTTCTGCTGGCCCTTAAACGCCACCTACTGTCAAGAGAGTGAAACTGCATTGGTCTGAAAACAAAAATCACATGCGAAAATCTGACTGAATTTATCCAGAACATTCATGTTGGTGTGAACAGGAACGTTAGCAACATGCTAACATTAAAATTAATTATAAGTCAAGTCTGATCGCCATCGTTCCAAATCAGTCACTTGTGAGCTTCCGTTACCTGTTCAAACATGAATGTTTGAATTATACAATTCATATAATTCAAACATTGTATGTTGACGTTGAATGTAAATAATTCGATACATTTTAGTGGGAAAATACTACAAATTCTCACCTCACGCTAATAGTTCTGAATAGTTTCCACGTAGCTCCTGTACTACTCGCCACTGAAAATGAATGACTTCCGGTCTCTCGCCTGTCGTTTGTTGGAGGTAGTGGAAAAGCGGCTTTATTGTCTTTAGTCCTTTGTAGGCACTGTGTAAGATGCACCCTTAGGACTGCACACATACACTAGCTGGTCCAAAAATGTGTTTGAATGTTTTTTTTTTGTACTATTTAAGCATAAGAAACAACATTTATGGGGCAGTTCAGTTTTGATGATGATTTTAAATATGTTATTTAAATGTGAGTGCGGCAAGCAGTTTTTGGAATTTCAGGATTTCCCCATTCAAGTATATAGACTTTAGTCTTGGATTCACAAGAGGCGTTGCAAATATGGCCGCCAAGTGAACAGAACTTCAAGTCAACAAGCCAAAGTTCTATGTAACGGCAGTGTCTCCGGGCACATGACCAAAAGTGAAAATCCTAATGGTTGGCCAGTTTTCTTCGCAGTTTGATGGAAAAAGAATGTCCATATAATTCTGAACAGATGCATTAACAGCAGTTCATTCAAATTCAATGTTTTTCAAAATGTTCACATTGAATATTCATCTTGTTTTATCAGAAGGCAGCTCACTAGGTTTTAGAACAGAGCTACCATAATCGGTGCTGAACATTTCTGTGAATCATTTATCCTTGCATGATAACAGATAAAGGGATAGTTCACCCAAAAATGAAAATTACCCCATGATTTACTCACACTCAAGCCATCCTAGGTGTATACGACTTTCTTTTTTCAGACGAATGCAATTGGAGTTATATTTAAAAATGTCCTGGCTCTTCCAAGCTTTATAATGGCAGTGAATGGGGTCGAGATTGTGAAGCCCAAAAAAGTGCTCTACACAGCTCCATTGGTTAATAAAGTCTTCTGAAGTGAAGCAATGCATTTGTATAAGAAAAATATCCATATTTAAAACTTTATAAACCATAATCTCTAGCTTCCGCTAATAATAGCAGAATAATAGCTAATAATTCCGTTAATAATAACTACGATTGTATTTGTCTGAAAGAAGAAAGTCATAAACACCTAGGATGGCTTGAGGGTGAGTAAATCATGGGGTAATTTTCATTTGTGGGTGAACTATCCCTTTAAATCACACTTGTCACAAAAATAAACTATCCTCTGTCACCACCACAGTGCAGCCCAGCCAATCAAAAGCAGAGCTGTAGGTGAAGACATAAACAACAAAACTATTTTCACCTCTCTCTCACACACACACACACACATACACACACACACACACACACACACACACACACACTTAAAGACAAACAGTGAATACAGTGCACAGTTGCAAAAATCACAAGACAATGGATATAAATCAATTGGACAAATACAGTAAAGCTTGTACAAGGCCAAACAAAACTAAAAAGACACAAGAACAAAACAGCAGCTGATCACACACACACACACACACACACACACACACACAAAGCTTCCTGGGGTTAAAGGTGCTGTGCTAGATGGGTGGCATTGATGAGGTGACACGTAGGGCACCATGCCATGCTGAGCAGTTCATGCCAAGTGACCAACCACATAAAACCCCACCTACCTGCCCACCGTCCCCAACCAATGGGCTGCCTCTGTCTACCTGTCTATCTGGAAATCAACCAAATACAGCGTCACAATGAAAAAAGAACAGACGTCCCCTTCACATAGTGTGACCTGTACTCAATGCACCATGTCAGATGCTATATTTATCAAGGCTGTGTTTATGAGATTAATGGATTATTATATCAGATTACATAAGAGTCTTATATAAGCAGGTATCTCTGCATCATGTGACGGTTGGTTTTACAGTGACACTGTGGGTGTTTTTCTCTCTGCTCACCTGTGGACAGCTGACTGTGGGACCTCCGTTGGGTTGTGGGGGTTTTAGAGGTGGAGGAGAGGGTTGAACTTGCACTGCTAGCCCTTGAGATGGGGAGCGGCACAGGGGTCACGGGCGGAGAATCCAGCTACGTGAGAAAAACAAAGATTATTTTGTAACATGGTCTGCATTTGTAGTGCCCTAGGAAATCAATTGTATTTTTTCCCAAACTCTTTTTTTCTCTGGATTCCATTGTAATGATTAAATCAAACTGGCTAATTAAAAAGCACGCCTTATTAACTGAAACCATGAAACTTATACAATTTAACAATTTATTAAAAGTTTATTTAATTTTTTTTATTTTAGAGCCATGTGAAAACCATTTTATTTTTCCCCCCAAATTCCATTAAATTTTTCCCACATTCTGTGTTTTACATTTAAATTTTTCAGTTTTAATGGTTTCATCAAATTTTAATAAAAAAGCATGTCTAATTAATTGAAATCATGAATTGAAATATTACTAACAACATAAATTAAAGATTTAGAAATGAGAAATTATTCTTACTGAACATTTACTTAATAAAAATCATTGTCACAGTAAAAAGACACACAAACCACAAGCTGAAGGGGCCTTTTAATTGCTAAAAAAAAGGAAATATTAATCAGATGATGTTGTGTATAATGGTTTTTCAACAAAGTTTTGATAATTTAGATGCCTTAGAAATTTGCTTATCAAATACGATAAAAAAGGCTTTATAGGCTTAAAATAAAGAGTAAACAAATATTTCATAATTGTATTAAGTGTACTCTTAAGTAGTAAAATTGTACTTTTCACATTTTTCAGAGCAGAGTAGCTACAGACATGCTTCACTTTGTCAGACAAAACAAACCAAGACAAATCGGCCTAATAAGAAAACTTTTTGTTGCTTTTCCCAGGAAATAATATTTTGTTATCTACAGTGGTGATATTCATACATTTGTGCAGTTCATGAAGCTGAAGCGTGTAGTGACGACAGGTAGCATAACTCTGGTTGGATGCTGTGAGCTTCACCTGGTTAATGTCCTCCACGCTCTCCACGGTGAACTCTGTGAGTCCTGGCACATACAGCTGTCCACTGCCGTCTGGACACATCTTTATATCCAGCTTCTCATTGGGATTGTCACCCAACAGGTTCCTGTTGGAAGCAGATAAATACAAATGAATTCATTTTTATCTGTTGACGTTAAGGAATGTGCAAATTTTAAAGTGGGGCACAGATTAATATTACGCAGACAATCTGAATCAGAACATACACATCTGTTCAACTTACACAACACAGCAGGAGGCATGATGGGAAAAGTGAGGGACAGGGTGAGCAAACAGACAGTGCAGGGGGAAATGCGTGACGTGTGATCTGTTTACGTCTTACAGATTTTAAATCTAATCTGTTTTTACATAACTGCGGACCAGCAGAATCTGTGGCAGGTCACACACACTTCACTGTGACATTGGGACAATTATAGAAAAGAGTGCTGAATATGCTGCAGTAATGTGCATGTCACACTGCTCCTGTAGAGCATTTGATCATCATCATCATCTCTACTTGTGTCTGTTTTTCTCACCGAAGTGTCTCATTGTAGATTTCCACCATGCTGACGGTGATCTTATAGTCCCAGTCGGGCTTTTTCTCCGACACTTCAGAGAAGAGCAGCCGCAGAGCACGCTGGTTAATGCCAGGGTCTTCAGGGACACCCTACATGAAACACAGAGACATGAGAGGCTGACACGAAAATTTATTACATAATCAACATGTTACGGCTGATAGTTGATAAATGGCTTATTTTAAGATTCTATGCTGTTTTTGTTTTATAAATTAAATAAAATTGGTTTAAATGTAGGAAACACAACAATGATGTTTAACAGTATGAATAATTGATATTCATTTTGAGATTTTTTCAAAGATAACATTTAACAGGGTTAATGAACTACACCAATAATCATAAAAAAACTACACTGGCGTTAAAAACTATTTCTAAAACTATCATATCTATTTCAAATTAAGCTGAAAAGAAAGTATCATGATTTCCACACACACACAAAAAAATGTCAACACTGAAAATAATAAAAAAATATTTCTTGAGCAGCAAATCAGCATATTAGAATGATTTCTAAAAGGATCATGTGACACTGAAGACTGAAAAAATGGCTTTGCATCATAGGAATAAATTGCATTTTGGAAATATATTAAAATAAACCATTATTTTGAATTTTTAAGAAACGTTAATATTTTGTTTATTAATAATGTTTATTTATAAACATTAATACGTTTTTGTCGAGATTAGTAAATAAAAAAATATATATAAATGTGACCCTGGACCAGTCATAAGGGTCCATATTTTCGAAATTGAGATTTATACATAATCTGCAAGTTGTATGAATAAGCTTTCCATTGATGGATGGTTTGTTAGGATATGACAATATTTGGCCGAGATACAACTATTTGAAAATCTGGAATCTGAGTGCGCAAAAAAATCTAAATATTGAGAAAATCCCCTTTAAAGTTGTCCAAATGAAGTTCTTAGCAATGCATATTATTAATCAAAAATTACGTTTTGATATATTTATGGTAGGAAATTTACAAAATATCTTCATAGATCATGATCTTTACTTAATATCCTAATGATTTTTGGCATAAAAGAAAAATTTATAATTTTGACCCATACAATGTTTTTCTTTGCTACTGCTAAAAATATACCCCAGCGACTTAAGACTGCTTTTGTGATCTAGGGTCACATATTATTAAAATTTTATTAGATTATTCAGTAAAAAAATATATTACACTAATACAATTGTTGTACTATATTTAAATGACTAATACAATATGGGATAATAACATTACTACATACTTTTTATATCAATAGCAATATAAAAGACAGTACAACAAATAGAACTACGATATGCCAAATACTGTAGTTTAAATATATTTCCTGGTTGTTTAACTTTAAGATGTCCTTGTTTCAATGTAATTACACAAATAAGTACTAAGTAATAATAATTAACAACATGTACAATTATAGGGTTTGGTTTATGGTTAATTGCTTGTAGTTGTGCATAATTTACAGTTATTACTACGTGTAATATGTTTAACATGAACATTAAAATAAAGTGTGCTACTTTTTTTTTGTTTGCATCAGTAATAAGAACACGAGGGGAAACATTATTAACTGTCATGAAAATCCTAATGGATTTAGTTTAGTTTAAAAACAATAGAATTAATTATTTCTTTTTTGATTTGAGGGTGAAACACGACCTGGACTCAAACACATGGTTTCACCTGCTAGGTTCTCGTGGACGGCCTTCATCTCACTCTCGGCTCTGATGAAAGCTTCCTCGATCACTCGGTTCTTCTCCTCCTCCAGACTCTGCATCTCTGCTTCCAGCTGACCCTGAGCTCTCTCCATCTCACCCTCATACACCAGGATCTAACACACACACACACACACACACACACACACACACACACACACACACACACACAGTACTGTCAACACATCTGATCAACAAAAGACTGTCACAGAGCTCATAAGTTCTATGCAAATAGTAAATGTTTTAAATGAGGAATTACATAAGGTATTATAAAGGAGCTTTTACAATGACAGAGATTAAATCGGCAACACACTGTATTATTGGTTGCTTGTAGGTGTTTGTACTCAACTGTATCAAGATCACTGTCAGTGTAAAGACCCCTTTACAGGTTCAAGAGACTGATTTGATCTACTTTCCATCTTAATGCTAAATAATCATAAAACAGATCAACACATCACAGATGATCAGAGATGCACAGATATCCTGCGTTCCACCTTATTTAAATAAAATGGCTTTACTTCTGACCAACACAACACAAACCCAGTATTAAAGACGTCATGAACTACTAACCAGAGTCACTAGTTAGACTGACCAAATGCAGTTAGGTAAGTGAAAGAAGACCTGTGGGGTGGGTGGAGGGCTCACATGGGAAGGGCATCTGGGGTCACGCACCATCAAAACATATGAAGTAGGGGTGGGCGATATACCGGTAGACACGATTAAGCGGTAGAAATTTGTCAACCAGTGGAGATTTAGGCCTATTGTCTATGTTGCGGCTACATGCTCGCATGACAATAAGGTCACGAAAGCTTATCGTTTGCACATGTTTTTAAGCATTGCGGTTTAAAAACCAAGTGATTTTAAGCTGTTGAAACGCAGCGAAAGAGAACTCATTTTGCTATATGCGCGCACTGTCTGAGAGACTGTTTCTGAGCGCTGTCTGAGAGGCACGCACACATGAAGACGGTGCTCATAGAGCGCAGGAGTATTGAGTTATTTTTGCTGCTTTATAGGCTTTGAATGGTAAATACACACACTTGTATGTGTCAAAATGACCATCTTTGCAAATATCCTCGTAAACACAGTAATTTAGGTCTTAAGTGAAAGCAAACAGCTGAGAAAGAAAACATGTGTAACAATATATTGGATCCGGGCAGCTCTTAAAGTGACAGCAGTCTAATACTCCTGCTGTCTGTCATTCATGTTAATCAAACAACAAAAGGGAGAAAATCTCTCACTGCTCTTGACTGAATCACTTTTGTGACTTTATTAAGAAGAAATATATATTTAATTTACACAGCGAAGAATATGCAGTATTTTTATACATTTGATTACTTTATACAATGTAGCATTTCTTATTTAACTATATATTTTTTGTCCTATTGCTTTTTTTAAATTATTTAATTGCTGACTGTTTACTTGTCTTCAGTGAGCTTGAGTTTTTTTTTTAAATTTAGGCTAGTATTAGTTTTTTGTGATAGTGACACTGGTGACAAGAATTATGAAATTTCTATGGTATCAAAAATGTTGAAATCATAAAAACCTTATTTAAAGCAAATATATATATATATATTTCGTTACAGTGAAATAAAATGACTCATATCGTGATATAAGATTTTGGTCATATAACCCACCCCTAATATGAAGTACACAACGGGGGTGACATCAACTATTTCACAGTAAGTTATGGGATTACTACTGCAAGTAGAATAATTTATAACCCTGAAGGGAATGTGAGCTAGTTACTCCGCAAGATTTCAGGGCTTTATAGGTCAAAAATGAGCATGAGCCAACATGAACCTACATTTTTGTTTAGAACTTAAAATGGGACAAAGTCTGGTAGAAGTCTGCTCACAGTAAATCACTTCCTATAATCACAGTTGGAATCTAACCCATGACATTTTTGACCTTTGACCCCTGCAGAGTAATCTGGACGACCTTGGATAGCCTGTGGGTGACCTCGGTGTTACCCCCACCCACCGCCTTGGAGAGCAGACCATACAGACGGCTGCGGTCCGTCCTCAGCTGCAACGCAAGTGAAGAGAGAGAGCTGTTAACCTGCTCTGTCACGACACCGACATCACAGAGGCCTGAAACTAGAGCCTTATGATTTCCATTAATTCCATTATTGATTTCCATGATTTCGAATTTACAGTATAATGCGGAATGTTACAGAATTTGGCAAAATTTGGATGAATAAATAAAAAGTAGAACTGTACAATTAATCAAGTAGCCATATGGACTAGTGTCTGTGAATATTAAAGCGCAAAAAGACTGCTATGTAAATATGAAGTCTGCATGTTCTGAGTGTCTGTGTGAATGAGTGCCACAGTCTTGTCTACTACACATATTCAGGCACACGTAATACTTGTGGAGTTTTCAGCATCTACCGTCTCACTATATGAGGACATGAACACATGAACTTCATCTCCAGAGCTGCTCTGAGAGTCACTTCACCAGCATTTCACCATTTCATTTGATAAAAACTATCATCGGATACACAAAGAAACTCAAAGGTCTTCACTTCAAGCAGCCAAAATAAAAGTTTAGTTTAACTTGAAATTATGACAGAAATATATAACTACTGTACAGTAGAATGTACTTCTCAAAGTAATAACAATATTAAAAATACAGTTTGTCTATATATATATATATTTCATTCATATTTTAATTTAAAACTTAAAGCAAACCTCTGTTTTGCAGCATTTCCTTGGCCAAAAAATATTTTTTTTCAAATTTCATTTAATTATATTATACAAGATTAATTAAATTCAGCGGCAGAGCAGCCTGGCGAGACAGAGCCTCCTCACCATCACGAAGCCGTGAGGTCAGCTGCTCCTCGCACTGGCTCCTGAGACGTGACGCCTCTTCCAGCTGCTGCTGCAGCTGAACTACCACACCTGTCCTCTCCTGCACCTGCTGCTCCAGCGCAGCCAGTCGCCGCTCCTGCTCGTGGCACTCCTCATCCTTACGACACAGCTCTCCACGCAGGGCCTGCACATCCTGAGACCGATGCAGACAGAGAGATGGAGCATTACAGAAAACACCACAAGATTTATTGCACACGATTTAAGCATCAAATAATTATTCTATCAATATAGAAACAACCAATCGGATTGTAAGTGAGGTTTAAGTGGGTTATGGCTGTGTGAGTACCTGGCTGTGGTGGCAGTGGCCGGTAGAGCAGGTGGTCTGGGTCTGACTGGCCCTCAGCTCCTGTTTGAGCCGCTGGTTTTCACTCTCCAGCACCTCGAGCTGTTTCTCCAGATCTGTCGCCCCCTAGAAACACACATATACGTTTATTTAGCTGAATGAGGACTTCTGATGGTTTTACATGCAGTTAATTATAATTACTATTGACAAATTCAAACCCAATCATTATCCACACCCAATAATATAAACCATTGGAATGGGGAAAAACATTGAATTAATTTTTTGTTAATTAATGTGAATATATTTGGATCAGTTAATATGAGCAAATGTTCATTATAGAAATTACACTCAGTACATATATATGCACTGCATATACATCTTCGGTCAGTAAGATTTTTCATTTTCAAGTATCTTCTTCTAACCAAGGCTGCATTTATTTGATCAAAAATCAATATAGTGTAATATAGTGAAATAATATTCCAATTTAAAGTAACTGTTTTCTATTTGACTATATTTTAAAATGTCATTTATTTTCAGCATCATTACTCCAGTCTTCAGTGGCACATGATCTTCAGAAATAGTCTACTATGCTGATTTGCTGCTCAAGAAACATTTCTTATTAATATTAATGTTGAAAATAGTTTTTGCTGCTTAATATATTTGTGGAATCGTGATACATTTTTTTCAGGATTATTTGATGAATCAAAAGTTCAAAAGAACAGTACGTATTTGAAATCGTTTGTAACATTATAAATGTCTTTACTGTCACAATTGATCAATTTAATGCATCCTTGGTAAATAAAAGTATAATTTTTAACTTTTGAACGGTTGAGTAATTTAACAGTTCTTTTTGGGTAATGCATTGAATGTCCTGATTTTGTTAAAGAAAATATATAAATGAAATGTTAATAATTTTTCCAAAAGAGGACAAGGTTTTATTATATTTAGCTTTCTTCTGGAAACAAAGTTCCCAGTTCAGTTAAGTACACCCACACCCATCTCAAATTTGGATCAGTGCCACAGTTGTAAATCTTCCAGGGCTGAAGAGATACATTCCTCTGCTATCAACAAAACTAGATCACCAGGTTAACACTCCATCCAATCCCATCATGAAAATAAATCAGGTCAGCGTAAACCTGCAGGAGCATGAGCTCTTTATTAAACAATAGAAATGTGGTTCACACAAGTGTGGTGACTTTAGCCCACCAGGATCAGGTGATTCATACAATGGCGCAGAGTGTGACATAACTCTCCCCGTCCCTAATAATTCAGTCTCTCACCAGCTCAGAGCGCAGTCTCTCCACCTCCTGCGTCTGATCCACTAGTTTCTCCTCCAGCTCCCTGACCTACAAAACCACAAACCAACAGCATTCAGCTAAATCCCTTTACAAAAATGAGTTTCATGCATCCACCCTCATGATGTATCGATCTATTTTAATCTAACCAGACAGAAACAATGAATATCAATGCATAAAAGGTCACAATACAGTATGTGGCTGAGGAATGTAAATGATCTGGTGGTGCTCTTGTGAGTCTGGCTGGAAAACTGAGCCCTATTCTCTCGGTGTGTGTGTGTGTGTGTGTGTGTGTGTGTGTAACATACCTGTGTGCGCAGCCCTGTAATGAGAGCGAGCTGTTCTCCCTCGTCTTTTTGCAGTAGCTCCAGTGAGTGAACTTTACTCACTTGTACAGCGCTGGGGAAATCCACAGGCCTCTGTGTCAAAACACTAGAGCTCCTCACACCTACACAAACACACACACACACGCTTTATGGCAAGCAAGCAGCTTTTTCTAACATTTAGGACACAAGTTAAGTAATAAATAGATTTATTATAATGTATTAATTATTAATGAAATATACAAAAATAAATTAATTAAAATGTATAGAAATATAAACTATTATAATTAAAATAAAATGTTTAATAATAATAATAATAATAATTATTATTATTATTATTGTTGTTATATTTCAAGCTATCTTTATCATTTCTAAATGTATTTTCTTTTCTAGAAATATTTATATTGTTAAACTATTATAATTAAAATAAAATGTTTAATAATAATAATAATAATAATTATTATTATTATTATTGTTGTTATTTTGTAATTATGTAACAGTTTCAAGTCCAACTTGCTTTTTTAAAATAACTCTCCACCAAATAAATAAATAAATAAAAATAATAATAAATAAATACATTAAAAAATTATTTACTCAACCTACTCATTTAATCTGAAAGCCCATATAACTTTTATTTCGCCATACATGCAGCTTTATATTTACATAAATATTATGAATTTTTTTTATATAAGATTAAAATGTTATAAATATAATAGTTTATAATAATAATAATAATATTATAAAAAAATACTAATTTAATTTACAATTATAGTCTCTTCAATCTGAACCATTTCCTCTCACCTGTAGGTGACACAGCTTGGTTGAGCTGGCTGTCTTGCAGTCTGGGCTGCTCTTGAGGTTCTTGGTTAATGGATGAATGTTCCTCGTTCTGGTGGTTGTCTTGGTTGAGCTGGTGGTCGTGTGTCTGCAGTCGCTGTAGCCTTTTGGCAGAGTCTTCACTGCGCAAACGTGCCTGGAACTCACAGACTCTCTCTTGCAGTGTCTGCACAAACACACAAGAACCTATGAATGCCAGCCATACTAAAGAACCTTACACAACCTGAACTATGAGGGAAAAACTAAAGCAGACAAACCAGAAGAGCTTTGAAAGAGGAAAGGGGTAAGTATTTCTTAAATGAAACACGTAGGTTGATTTCCCCCCCCCCCCCAAAAAA